CAAAAAAAAGGAGACAAAACTTTTCTCACCAAAAGAACTTAATTTCATTCAAGGGGCTGTGAATTTCGTTGCCTCGGTGGTTGACCGCAACTGACCGGATGGAACATACGGTGTTAAGGTACACCACGGCAGTAGCTGACATCCAGAAAAAGTCGGTTTGGGATTTTGGACTATTTTAGTATTATCGATTGGAAATATTTTCAAGTGTCTAAAACATCTATAAAGTGCTCACATATGCCATGTTTGCGAACATTTTGTTGAAATAGACCAATATGAATTCGGGGTGGGGGGGGGGGGTTCAGTTTTCTCAAAACTATGATTTTCTTAGGTGGGTGGGTCACCTGTGCAGAGATATTTCTGAAAGTACATGTCACAGCTCAATCCCTCTTCGCATGACTGTTTCTAGATAATATGAAGATGCAGATGATGAAGTAATATTGTTAAGGCATTTATGACAGATGGCAGAGAGTCGGAGGTGTCATCTCTGCTGACTCAGAGGTTAACAGACCCTCTACTATAAACAGACATTGAAAATAATAAATATCATACGATGCCAAGGCATTCACTCAGTTTCTGTGGGGGTGGGGTGGGGGGTGGGGGTGGGGGTTCTGAAATGAAATTTGAAAACATATCTTAGGTAACGCTTTGCCATCAACATCTTTTGGTAATGACACGGTTTTTCTTCTTTCCCAAAAAATTTCATCACAAAGACTTACAATATAATGTTTGCCGTAAGGTTAAGAGTCTTCAAATTCTGATGCATGGTACAAGCAATCTTCCTTAGCAGCCTGTATGGTGCATGGTCATTCTGTCCTTTTATCTTTGAAGATCATTTTGTTGGCCGTGTTTCCTATCTTCTTCCATCTCCGTTGATACATTCTAAAAAGCCACATATGCCGATTTGATGAACACTGGCCATTTGTACTAAACGTCGTAAGTGGATTCATCGACAAAAAAGTTGTGCGAAAACAAAATTCTTTGCGTAAAAAGAGTTGTAGAGGTGTAAACCTGGGGTACCCATCCTGTCGTAGCGGAAAGTCAGTGAGAGATGGGTGTTCAAATTAGTTAGGGGATTACAGTTCTGATGGCACACACGTCTTGTAGAACCCCCAAGGTGCCCCCACCCTGGCTACACAACTCACACACTGTCAGCCTATATGCTTCGCTACATTAGAATTGCAAAGTTCTATCTGACATTTTTGGACGTTTTGAATCTTACTAAGACCCCAAGGTCAGAAACCAAATGTTCTATCTGCTCTATAAAAATCATAATATTATTCGGAGTCGTTATCAAGATGTTCAAAGAATTGAATTCGGAAAAAGCTTGACACGTTGGGAAAATCAAAATTTTTATTTCTAACTTCTCAAAACTAGGTACTGAGCACACAGAGCTTCGTACGTGTAATTCTGTGGTAGCGACTTGTCAGACTCCCAAGTCACAAACACTGAAAGGTTTAACTGAACTAAACAATCCTCAATCCAAATCCAGTCGCTGCTATCCAAATATGGGTTTCCACCGGTATCTAAATATTACGAGGTCACAAAGCTAAGAGTGTAGTTATCGGAGGAATCTCCAATGGGAAAGATCGGGTGCGTCAATCGTTGCGAGCCAGTTTGGAATCCCATGACAGAGTGTGCCCTGGTTTGCCCGGCTCGATGGAGGGCATTGATATTCTTAAGACCCAACCACACGTCGAAAAAAAAACAGTCTTCGCAATCGCTCCTGCATTTATTACAGTCCAACGTCCTGTTGTTTCTGAAGATGAAGGTGTCGATATTTTTCGATGACAAATTACAGGCTTCCTGGAAAGGGTGATCTAATGTTTCCGGGAAGAGGTGCACTACGTGGACACCATCTGAACGTCCGAAAGTAACGTCTTCTCTGTATGTCGTGGAATGGCGATCACGTAACTGGCATACTCAGCCTTCCTCTCAGACGCATCTCCCTGTCGTAAAATCAAATGTTTTTCCAGTTTCACAAGAAGGCCTTGGAGGCGTTACCATTACTGGTAATCTTGTTGTAGTGTACAATGGAGTCGTGGTTTCAAGTGCTACTGTTGTTCCTGCAGTAGTACCAATCGTTGAAATCTTTGGAGTGTGTTGTGACAAAAAGTACACTTTCGGCTGTAGAGTTTCATCGGCACAGTCACTTAGAGACAACTCGCTACAGCTTGTGTGAATGTAACAGTCGTCTGTCTGTTCCACAACACAGCCGTCATCTTCTGTCTCACCGACACTGACAGCCTCACAAGACGGGTCAAGCCGGCACTGCCTGGCACAGTCTAGGAGACTTTTCACCCCGGGGACAAGTGTTTTACTATCGCAAGAGTCGCCAGTGTGCGGCTGTCTGGCGTACGCTTCCACGTAAAATGACTCATCGGAATTCTGTGTCATTGAGACGGCATTAACCACAGAAAAAATTACGAGAACGAAAAGGAAGTCACGTTTTTTTAAACGGGGCCCACAGATTCTTGAAGTATTCATTGTGAGTGATTAGCGGGTGATCGTCGTGTAGTTTGCTCCTTCTTTCGTATCAAACACCCATCGTCGTTATCTCACCTCCTTCTTTTTGTGTTTGTTACTTTCTTGTTACTCTTTAATCTTCGGCACTTATGTGACGTAGTTGCGTTGCAAGTGCCATTACACTCTTACTAAAACTGAGACGAAGTATTCATTACGACGCGTAATATAAAAAACCGTATAAGTAACAGTCACAAAAGTAACCAATCTTCTTAAATAAGCCCGTCTCAAGAATAGAAACTCCCACAAGAAGAAGCGAGTCAAAATCTTTGACAACACCAGCAAGTTCTCAAGTTGTATTATTTTTATTGGGAGAAAAAAGAAATGAAGTTTGCTACTCCTCTTTATAGTTTCTAGAATAGTTAACCTCATGCAGTTTGCCTCCAACAATCTCCTAAAAAGCCCAGAAATCTCTCAGCCATATCCGTTAATGACACTAATGCGATCTGCCATGTTAAGGCAAAAGTCGTTCTGCGAAGTGGTCATGCTTTGTCCAGCAGCCCAGGCAAATTACCTTGCCGGTTGTTCTCATTTCCCATTAAAGAATCTTTTAGAGCGTGAGTGTTTTGAAACAAAAGGTCCGCACATGTCACATGGCCGAAGCACGAGACGCGCACAGCCGCAAAGTGAGTACAAGGCGCGATGGTGGCTTCGTCCTTCCATCTAATCCTTGGCATACTTTCTAGTGAAAAAGGACAGAGGTGTGTGGGGGGGGGGGGGGGTATGTTTTCAAAACTTCGTCTTTCTGTTCAATCGATATTATGGAGGAGGGGGAGGAGGAGGAGGAGGGGGAGGAGGAGGAGGAGGGGGAGAGGAGGAGGAGGAGGAGGAGGAGGAGAAGAAGAAGAAGAAGAAGAAGAAGAAGAAGAAGAAGAAGAAGAAGAAGAAGAAGAAGAAGAAGAAGAAGAAGAAGAAGAAATTAGAAAATGTCATGTAGGGGACTGCTATTTCGTACCTTAAACTTATATTACCAATTAGATAATGTCATGTAGGCTGCTATTTCGTACCTTAAACTTATATACCACATCATATTACACGATAACTTTTGATAATGTACCGTAACGTATCGCCTCATATCCCATGATGCCACACCGCATCATACATAACTTAATATAATACCTAGTCTTATGATACCATAAGAGAGAGAGAGAGAGAGAGAGAGAGAGAGAGAGAGAGAGAGAGAGAGAGAAAAAGAGAGAGACAGACAGACAGAGAGAGAGAGACAGAGAGAGAGACAGAGAGAGAGAGAGTTTGGTGTGTAAATTCATTTGAGAGGGGGGGATAAGAGATACACATTTTATAGAGGGCGAGAGAGAGACAGACAGACAGAGAATCACAGAGACAGACAGGCAGACAGACAGACAGACAGACAGACAGACAGACAGACAGACAGACAGACAGACAGAGAAGGCAGAGAAAATGGGACAAAAGTAAGACAATATTTTTTTAATGACATGAAATGTTGTTAGATAATACATTGTACATCTAACCCCGCCCCCTCCTTTATTTTTTTCGTTTTAACTTTTTCATTTGACACTGCAAGGTGCCTTGTTTTAGTAAGTGTTTTGCAGCACTTTCAACATAATAAGGTCATACAAGTGCCGAAGATTAGAGGTGTTATAAGAGAGTAACAAACACATAAAAGAAAGAGTCAAAAGGATGGAAGATGTTGGATAGGAAAGAAGGAGCAAACCACACCAGAGCATCCGCCAAACACCCACGTCCAGTTTGTGAACTACATACAGTATGTACCAGGAACAGCAACGACCTGAGCTACGTGCTGAGGAACTCCACTTTCAAGATTTGCAGTGTGTGTGTGTGTGTGTGTGTGTGTGTGTGTGTGTGTGTGTGTGTGTGTGTGTGTGTGAGTGAGTGTGGAGAGAAGATACTATAGGCCTAGCTAATACTAATAGCTGTCTCCTTTGAACTTTTAACCTCCCCTTTCGTTTGATATGAATCGATGTCTGTGCTGTATCAGTCAGGTGCTTTGCCGTCACATACAGAAGACTGGGGGCTCTCGTGGCTTAGAGGTTAAGGTGTTGGCCTCTCATTCAAAGGTCCCGAAACATTATCCTTCTCTAAAATTGTCTCCTTTCACCTCCAGTTCAGGAAGATGAACATTGGCAATGCAGATCAATGCTTCTATACATCTAAGTACTAGTTGTCTTAGTTTTAGTAGAAATTTACAGCACTTGCAACACATTAAGGTCATATAAGTGCTTAAGATTGAGGTGTTACAAGAGAGAAATAAACACAAAAAGGAGGGGAGATAAGGATGATAGATATGAAAGAAAAGAAGAAGCAAACCACATCAGAGCACCCACCAACCATCCACAAGTCTTTGTTGTCTCTTCTGAAAAACTAGAGAGAATTTTAAAAAAAGAAGTACAAAAATACCAGCTGATGAATTCTTTCATTACTTTTATTTCAGATGTACAGTAGTAACCCTTTTCATGAGAGATTACTATAAAATCAAAACAGTATACTCTAGTGCGGTTCATAGTGAATAAATGTCACCCACACTTCGCACAGCAGTTTGTCGGGATCAGAAAAAAATTACGGACATGCTTTTGATAGCCATACTGTCCCAGCTGTAATTTTAAATCTAAATTTACATTAAGTCCCACTGGATTTGAATTTGAACACACACACACACACACACACACACACACAAATACACACTCACACACACACACACACATACACACACACACACACACACACACACACACAGAAAGACAGCTCTAAATAGGCCTACATTACACACAAATAAATCACCAACAAAAAGACTTTTCAAACACAACATTTCCCTTGCCGTTCAGCAGCCAGGGTTATTTAACAGAGGATCCCCATTAAACCGCCAGCCCCACTATTCCATCATCTTCATGCTCGTCCCCAAGGGTGGTGGTATAATGAGATTTGACTGTGCCTTGCCAACAATAAACTCACTCCACAACTCCACAAAACTAAAACAATAACACAAAAAAACTGTATAGAACTACTGCTCAAGAAACAAAACACAACGATACAATAGAAGGCTATAATGCAATATTACTATTATTAGGAAGGGAGCATAATGCTGATGAAAGAACAAATTGCAATTCAGTCAGACTAGGTCGTTAATTTTTCACATTAAAGTTAGACAAACTATCAAATTCCAGTCATGAGTTTCAGAGCAGATTTATCAAACTAAATGACCACAGTACACGAGATTAGATTGGATTCTGGAGTCCATTATGCTGTACCAAATGATCACTTTCACCATGGACTGGCACCACCTTTTGCCAGTCAGCGCAGCTACATTCAAACTACAGCTGACAAATCTTCACCTCAACCTGGTTCTTCTTAGTGCTTTGCAGCTGCAGTATATGAACCTCTACTCATCATTCAGCTCTTTCAAACTTTTTCACCACTGGCTCCAAAGCTTTGCATTCACCTGCTTCTGATGGAGATTTTAAAAAATACTCAACTTCTATGAGTAAGTATTAACTGTGTCAACATTTTGATGAAACCTGCTCCGCAAATAACCTGCCAATCACCAACGCAATTTTTCACTCCCTCATTCAAAACAAGGCTTCTTGCATGCACATCTATTCTAAGAACTGGAGTTTCAACATAGCCTGAGATATTCGTTTTCTGAGGCCAAAGTCTCAGTACAGAAAAATAGCAACCCAAACCCCCCTCCACCCTACAACCGGCAATCATAGTTCAAGGTTTTCATTTTCCTCAAACCTGAAGTGGGCCCACGTTTCTTCAAACAAACTCCTACAGTCCACCACCCCTCCTAACTTGGTACACAACAAAAATGCTCCCGACATTTTACGGTGCAAGGAGTAGGTCTCCTCTGGTGGTGCTGTCAGTCTGTGCTTCAGCATCACGGGGATGATGTTCTGTATGCGGGCCGTCGTGCTCTGATGGCCAAAATCAAAAGCCTTGTCGGAGAACGCTTCCCCCAGGATCATGACAGCATCACAGTGAGCCTCTTCCATCACCTGAGGGTGGAAGGGAAAAGAATTCCTTTTCATACATGTAAAGATTCCTGGGAAAAGAGGGTGAGGAAGAGAAGGCGAAGAAGTAGAAAAGGAAGAAGAAAAATTGAGGCGGGGGAGGGGGTTGATATTTTTGTTATGTAATATAGAGCACTCAACTGAAACTTACAGATTCGCCCTGATATCTTGATGGAACATGTGTAAGAGTGTAAAAATTTCAGGAAAAAGAGGGTGAGAAAGAGAAGGTGAAGATGTAAAAAAGGAAGAAAAAAGGGGAGGGTCTTCTTTTATTTTTGCAACGTAACACAGGGTACTCAACAACTGAAACTTTAAGTTTCACTGTGATTTCTGAGGGAACATGGGTAAATGCATATATGCATGTGCATGTGTAGGTTGTATGTGAGCGAATGTGTGCGCCCTGTGAGTGCACGCACATGTATGTGTGTACATTTGTCAATCCACCATCCGCATGGAATGTCCTCCACCAATAGTGATGTGAATACAGGTCTGACAGTGCCCACAGGTGTACAAGAGTATATGCGCCAAGAGAAAGCTCTACTCACCTTCGTCTCATATCCAGTGAGAAAACCTACTTCTCGTGATCTGACGAGAACCTGCTGACTGTCTCCATCTGCTGCTGCCCGGATCACTCGCATGTATCGGTCTACAAAAGACTTGCTGAAATCTCTACTCGCTCCAAAGTCTAACAGAATAAGCTGAAAAATAAAAGGGTAAAAAAAGTGTAAAGTAAACTTCCGCAAGAAGAAGTGACAGCAAGTCATGCAAGAAAAGGGCCCAATAATGTATTCATCACCAAAAAAACAAAAAAAGTATGAAGTATAGTGAAAGAAAGAAAGAAAGAAAGAAAGAAAGAAAGAAAGAAAGAAAGAAAGAAAGAAAAAAAGAAAGAAAAAAAGAAAAAGAAATTACATGTAGTATTGTAATATGAGCTGTATGCCCTTTTCAATACTAGTAAGTTCAGTATGCTTGTAAGAAGCAGGATGCAAAGACCACCTCCTTTTACGCCTTGTCACTGATGTACTAACAAGGAGAGCGTTAGATTGGAATCCACAGGGTAAAAGATCAAGGGGAAGACCACGTGGAACCTGGAGAAGAGTCACGGAAACGGATGTACAGAAAAGTGGGAAGACAATTTCCCATCAGGCAGAAGTTTGCAGGGGTTTTTTAAACTCTTTAAGGAGCGTCCGGCAGTAAAAACCCTGTTCCCCACAGGACACTAGGAGTGTCCGATACTAGTGACAATTGTTGCGTTTTATTTAGTGCTAGTTTCTTCTTGTTTTTCAGAAATATTTCCGATCCAAGTTTTTTTAGTAATGACGAAGCCTTTGTTTTCGCCGTTCAGAAGTTGAAGGCAAACTTTTGGGGTTCTAATGAGTTACAGTACACCTGATTTAGGTGACTGTAGAAAAAACTCCGGGAAACTGTGGAAAAAACTCAGGGTTTAAAGAGTTAAGAGGACAGAACAGCCTTACCTTATCACTCTGTGGATTGTAGAAAAAGTTCGACCAGTTGGGGTCTGTCTGCATAAACCTCCATACAAATAACTCCTTCAAGCAAAGTTCTAAAACGGCCTTGCAGATCTGAAAAACATAACGATAAGAACATAAATTACTTATGTGTGCTCCAAAGAAAACGTTATCTTGCTGACCAAAATGATATAGAAATTCACATTTTGTGCCCTCATTTTCAGAACACATCAGGTTTCCTTTCTCCATTAAGTTTAACCCATTGTCATGACGTCTCACACATTTCATTTTTACCATTTACCTGAGAGGCATGATATTCAGACTTCAGAAAAACCTAGAAAATATATTTGAGTTTGGATGAAACCAGGGTATGAGAACACAAAAACAGTTGGCTTGCATACATTCACTTCACTGAGACAAGTTGAGTGAGTATTCAAGTGTGTCATGAATTAGAGGACCGCATTCAACAGAGCCCAGAAAAGAGGATATCATCAGGCCACTTATACATAGGGAGAGAGAGAGAGAGAGAGAGAGAGAGAGAGAGAGAGAGAGAGAGAGAGAGAGAGAGAGAGAGAGAGAGAGAGAGAGAGAGAGAGAGAGAGAGAGCTAGACACAGGCAGAGGGAATAAGGGGGGGGGGGGGGAGAAAGAGAGAGAGAAAGAGAGAGAGAGAGAGAGAGAGATAGTATAGTATAGTATAGTATAAGGTTTTACGGCGCTCGCAACTGCTAAGGTCATATGAGCGCGCGAAACACAAGTCGTTCACCTTTGCAAAAAGCTCACTTCACGACTGGTTATCTAATTGACTTCAAATGCTAAAAAGTTAAAATGTTTAAATTCAGTGTAAATACATATGTGGTTTAAAACAACTCTTCTAAGTAACAATAAAAATTTTAAATAATATCAATTCACTCTATAACTCGCCATAAAGGCCAATGGCCTTTATAAAATTTTAAATTCTGCTGGGAACAACGACGGAAAAAATATCCTGCAATTTCTTGCATTTATAATATTTCCTTCGGATCTCTCCAAAGTCTAGACATTCTGTTAAAATGTGTCTAATGGTAAAATCTGTGTCGCATCCGACACAGAACGGCTTCTCATCTCCCTGTAGGAGGTATTTGTGGGTCAGGGCCGTGTGTCCGATGCGCAATCGAGTAAAAATGACTTCGTCTCTTCTGGAGAGGTCCGAAGGATTTCGCTGTTCTAGTTTGGGTTTAATTTCAAATAATTTATTATTTTTCTGCTTTTCCCAGTGGCTCTCCAACAGACTGGAAGAGAGAGAGAGAGAGAGAGAGAGAGAGAGAGAGAGAGAGAGAGAGAGAGAGAAAGAGAGAGAGAGAGAGCTGACCTTGTTCTTCGTCTCTTGGTCCATATCTAAACATTGGTCTACTGGAAGTCCTTCCACATATTCTGAGGTAAGCACTCCTTTAGAACTGAGACTTTCTATCACTTCGGGGACGTACAAAAATTGATCATCTTTCAACAGAGCTCTGAAAGAAAAGATAAATGAGAGACACCATTTAGACCTGTCCCCTTAAATTTCAGGTCATGGTAAGACAAAAAGGGGCATTATCAAAGAACACAGTACAGATAGCCAATGCTTATTTTTCCTTTTTTTTTTTTAAATCTTCAAGACACACCCCATCAAACAACAAAGTTGCCCTTATAAATCTATTAACCGATTTGCAAGTTTCAGGGTATTATACTCCCCCCCCCCCTTTTTTTTTCTTAGATCAAGTAGCTGCTTATTGGAACTGAGTGTGTTGCACAACCAACTTTAGTATGTTTAGTCTTGTGGGGTATGACAATTTTAACAGTATTTTTTGGGTCTGAGAGATATAAATGGTCATAAATATCAGTAATGCTTCCTTTTCTCTCTCCCCTTTGTTGCCATAACCTACATTCATCATCATTGCCTTTCTCACCCTGCACCAGGGTATAGGCCAAGGACAAACTCTTTCAACCTTTCTCTATCCTGGGCTAGCCTCTGGATGCTATTAATCCGGAGAGACTTGTTCGACAGAGAAGGTTTCGGGTCAGGAGAGTCCTTTTGGCTTTGTCCGCTGTCCTTCATTGTTCCTGCTGATGCAGAAGCTCCTCTGTCTCCCAAGACCGAAAAATTCAAAGCCGTGTTTGTCCGCCTTTCTGTAACTGACTGTTTTTACTGGGTTGGGTAGTTGGCCCTCGACAAACTGATTCTTTTCGGGTGACCAGACCTATGCACCTTTAGTCGCCTCTTACGGCACGCAGTTTCACGGCAGGTGCGTGCTTTGCTTCCCCAAAGGAAAACTATGGGGTCCCCAACCTGCAGGGGCGATAACCTTCATTGACAGCTATCTATTCTTCTGGATTACTTTTTACTCAAAGGGCGAAAAATAAAATACTGAATAAAACTAGACAAAGACATTTTTTAGTTTAGTTATAGTAGAGGTTTTACGGCGCTCGCAACTGCATAAGGTCATATGAGCGCCAGCAGATTAGAGGTGTTGCAAGAGAGTAACAAACATAAAAAAGAAGAAGGGGAGATAAGGATGATAGAGTTAGATAGGAAGAAGAAGAAGCAAACCACACCAGAGCACCCGCCAACCACCCACAAAGACATCCTTGAATCTTTATTGTTTAACTAAAATTGTCAACAAACCTGAATTTCCTAGAACACTCTGCTTCCCTGATGTAATCCACCTCCCAGGCCAGTTCTCTTCTTGCTGAAGCAATAACACTGTCCACATATAAACCTGAAAACAAAACATGTACAAGAGTATTAAGAAAAAAAAACAAAAAAACATTGATATATCTTTGAACATAACACTAAGTTGCAGGAAAATAGAGTCATTTAGAAGCCAATGCATACTTCCCCAAGACTGAACAAGACCTAATTTATTCTAGAAACTCAAAACTCAAATTCTGCCAAATAAACTAAAACTTACACTTTCCAAAAGCCAACAGATGGTAGCTGCTGTACTTTACTTTTGCTTTTTGAATCCAGCAGGCATCCGAGTTTGAGTTCTTCGGCATGTCGATATGACAAAGAATTCACAGGTTTCTATCAGCTGCATTTTGTTGCAGTACAGAGAGTTCCCAACAACTGGGGAGGCAGGTAGGTAGGTACTAAGCAGGTCGTTAAGTGCAGATAAAGAGGTAGTGTGTGACAGTTTCATCCTGGCAGTCACATAGCAGCAGCAGCAGCAGCAGCAGCAGCAGCAGCAGCAGCAGCAGCAGCAGCAGCAGGCAGGGTATCATGTAGATCCTGTTCAAGCAGGAATACAGTGGAATGTGTTGTGTTCGCAGGCAGTAGATAGTGACCTGTCCTCTTCTACTCAGGACATTTAGTGCATCTTTCGCACAGTAGCTAACCAGCTGTCTGAGAAGGTTCAGTCTCTCCTCAATAGTGACGCAGAGATCCGGCTACCAGAATTTTATAATACACAGATAATGAACTTGTAAGAAGATTAAAAATTCCTTTACGAACTAAAAGAAAGACAGTCCATTTGTGCAAAAACCTTTAATGTTAGCAACGGTAAAAACTAGATTTCCTATTTACAAGTATTGGTGAGGTATGAAACGCTCAGAGAGTTTCTTCGCTTTAGGTTTTACGGTGCTCGGAACTGCATAAGGTCATATGAGCTCCAGAAGATTAGAGGTGTTACAAGAGAGTAACGAACATAAAAAAGAAGAAGGGGAGATAAGGACGATAGATGTTTGATAGGAAAGAAGAAGCA